TATTTTAGTCTAAAAAAATATGAAATTTCGAGCAGACTAAAGACACACCCTACCTCCTTGAAATCTTGGTTCAAAAAAATGAAATGGTGTCCTAAGAATTTAAAATGGCAGAGAAAGCCACTAGGGGGACATTCTTATTTTCCTATTGGTTATTTATGTAATATATAGAAGTAAGTGTATATAAAGGTTCATTTCCATAAATGGAAAATAGTGGGTGGGGTGCCATTGTGTTTGATTTACTAGCAAATAGAAAAGATAATACCTTCTTATTTTATATTCTAGCTTGTCAATATCAGTAATTTGAGTTTCTAATATGTATGAAACTATAGACTTAGTATTTTGACTTCACAAACACTAATTTTAACAAGTGCTGCATTCAACATACCATGTCTATCTGTGTCTTTTTAATATTTACTTTTAAATTAAGAATTTGAGTAATGTATAGTTCTAAAATTTGAATTATAATCTACAGTTTGATACCAAACTTATTGACATAAAATTTTGAATGTGAGTCAACAAACGAGATGACATGGCCTTTCACCCATGACCTGTCTCAAAATGGTTAAAGCTTGTGGCATGCTCAGAAAATTACAGCAATGCACATGACGTAACAGCTCTTTTTGGCGCAGAGAGGTGAGTAGCATTTCTTAATTTCCTATAGTCCTATAAATCTTCTATGTAATGTGTCAATATAAATTTCATAAACATGGAGTATTTATCCCTTGTTTTCTCCATTATTTCCTTAATAAGTCAATTAGGTTTCAACTTCACTGTTATTATTTTCCTCATTTAAAGATATTGTGTATCCAAAACCTGTATCACCTATTAACTTGTTTACCCAATTCACAATTGAAAATATCATATTGTGGCCTCAAAAATAGCCGACTGAAAAATATGAACTAAAATTTCATTTTCCTTGTCTTTGTATGTTAACTTTTCCTACTTCATATATATATAGTTATGATTCATTTTATACCAAGTAAATATATTTACCAATTAACTTTCCTTCCAAATATAAATATATATACTCTGTAATTAACATTTTATGACACAATTTTACAAAAATAAAAATATTACCTAACAGCCAGTGTCTTATTTATTTCATGTAAAAATTATATTTTTGTCTGTTCAACTTTACTTTTTTTTTTTTAACAAAGTACACTAACAATCTAGGGACCATTTACACCTTCAAGCTGTTCCTTCACAGCCACGTTTAGGAAGAAATAAAGCTGTTATGAAAATAAAACTGTATCGACTGGAGCCTAGCCTGTCATTTCCAAATCTCAAACTTCTTTTGTCATCTTGTTTTACCTTTCTTTTCTCCAGATAAAATAAGTTAATAGAATTCTAACCTATTCCCATAAGATAACACTTCCATCCCTGGAAAAATCCTAGTAGCAATACACTGAACTCTTTCCAATAAGGCAAGATCCTTTCTCAGATAAGCATTGAAATGAAATGCACACAGTAATCCAAGAGAGCCTAACTACTGATTTGTATAGAGATAAACTCTTCTTTTATCTTGAAACCAATAATTTCCATAAATACACCTGAAAATTCTACTAGATTTGCTACTAGCAACAGAGCACTGCCTTCATGGTTGGAATGACTTATCCACCACTATGTCAAGATATTTTTCTTCAGACACACTAATGAGTGTTCCCATCTATATTAATAGTGTGTTAAAATTATTATAATCCAAATGAATTGCCTCACCAAATATATGTCCAGCTGACCAACTGATTCAATTCACTCTGTATACCTTAACATAGCTAAAATATCCAATTTTAGTATCATCATAAACTTTACTATATTATTAATTATGCCCTTATCATTATCCTTAATGCAAGTAAGAAGCAGCAAAGGCTCAAATACTAACATCTGAGGCACTCCACTAGTAACAAGGATCCAGTCTGATTGGACTACATTAATACAAAGTACTCTAATATTTCATAATATTACATACATAAAGTAGTATGGAAAATAGTTTGTCATAAGATCAGTGATACCAAAGGTAAACAACGAACAAATTTGAAATACTTAAATACTCACCTAAACAGGTGGTGAACTCATTATCACGGGCCTTGGCTGAATGAACAAATGAATTTGACACAATCATTGGGGTAAATGCTAAATCACAACCATACTTTCGAACTAACATTCTAAATGGAAGCCTGGAAAAAAAAAAGTTGCAAATGAAATAAATATTTATATATATATATATATATATATTCAGATGATAGCACTCTTGTATAAATAAAAACATTATTCATATAAACAGTCACATTTATAACATATTAACAGAAGAAAAAAGTTCCCTTGCAAAAGATCACTGCTTAAGTGCTTGTTAGCTAAATTTGCACCATCATAGCTAGTTATGAAAAACTTGGGTTTGTGAGCTACTGGGTACTATCAATGCAATTAATTAAATGTCAAAGCTGCATATAATCTTAGACATGCAAGCATATTTTTTATCTGGTATCAAGCATACAGCACAGTTATAACTGTGATTTAATACATGTAATAGATAAAAATATGTCTTTACATGTACTACAGAAAGAATGAAAAAATCTGATAAATGAGTAACAACAAAAAACAGTAATACAATATTTAAAATTAAAATACAAAGTCAGTGAAAAGCTAAAAGCAGTCACTTATAAATGAGCAATTTTTTAAGTATCAAATTTATAAAATACACATGTACTTCATATTTAGTATTAAAAAACAATTTAAGTTTATTTTGTTCAAACCCAATATAAATGACTTGTAAATGAGATAAACCATGAAGCCTAAAATATATTCTTTATCAAGTTAAAAATGGTATTTCCAGAACAACAAGTAATCAAAATGCAAGACAGTAGCTTGATTATCATTTTTAAAATGTTGTACTATACTTGTTGTATTGTACTATATTAATCCTCATATTATCTGTGAAGATCTCTGTAAATAACTCGAGGCATAGGTTATCTTCTCCATCATAAACATTGATAGCTACATTATATTACTGGAACTGGGAAAATAAGGAAATATTCAAAATTTAATAAAAATTCACTATCATTTAAGCAATTTATATTAGGGTGTTGGTCCACAAATGGTAACAATCACAGCTCAGATCCTGTCACTAACAAATTTTGGTGTAATATCTGGTGTAATATTGCATCCTTCCTCCTTCAGAGAAAGTGAACTAAGTTAAGTCAGGGCTCTAGGGTGTCCATTTCAGATTTTCAATATTGTTATCCTTAAATCAGTTAATAATAGACATAGTAACATGGCAAGATGAACTGGTAGACATAATGTTAGTACTGCAACATTGTCTAAAACTTCAATATGAGAAGAGCCATTCATCTTTCCTTTCACTAAAACAAAAGGACCAAATCCACACCATGAGAAAAAACAGCTCCAAACCATTAGACTTCCTCCACAACTCTTCACTATTGTGACAACACAGTTATGTGTGTAGTGTTCAGCCAACTGATGCTACACCCCCATACTCATAGATCAGATAAAAAGAAGATATGTCAGGATTCATTACTTCATGTGATGCATTCCCACTATTCAATACAGCAATCTTGTGGCTTAGTATTCATGCTTGTAATGCAAGACTTGTGAGCAGCAGCTCTTCTAATGTTCTATGAAAACTTTTATCATGCAGTTCCCATTAGGACGTGGATGTAATAGAGCTGAGCAATTAAATTACTTATGAACAGCAATTATATTAATCAGGGTCATGTAAATAACTCAGCTAACTGAAATTACAATTAAACTGATTAATCAAAATTAGTTTCTAATTATTACTATTTTTGATTATTGCAATAATCAATTAATCAAAATTAGTGTTTCTGATTATTCCAACAATATATTGATCTAAAATTCTTATTTTATCAGTTGTCACAGAAATAACTAACCAAAATTAGTGTCTCCAATTAATGTCATTTTCAATTATTCCAATTATTCAAGCAATGGAAATATTGCTATTATGTTTATTTGTTATTAAGCACAAAGCTACATAATGGGCTATCTATGTTCTACCCAATTTTAGACTTAAATTGCTTTTTTTTAAATTCAAGTTTGTTTGTTAAACTGGGTGGAGAAGGGGAGACTCATGATATGAGGGTCTCTGGTTCAATTTCCATTGCCACCAAACTTTCTCAGCCTTTGTTATTGCAAAGCTTCTAAGGCTATTTATCACTGTCACTAATTCTGAGCTTTTGAATGGAGGGAATGCAACTGGCTTATTTTTTGCCTATATGTACCTTAGTCTGAGGAACACCATATTAATTAATTAATTCAATGCTTTTTGTCTTTTTCAGAATGTTACAATAAGTGACCTTGAACTATCAACATAAGATTTTAATATTTTGATAAGGAAAATATAACATTATAAGGACTTCACACCCAGTGTCAATGTAGATAGATTAGATGGTTGGTGAAACTGAAAACGCAAGAAACTGAGCATGGAGTCTATGCTACTCAAAAATGACCCATCATTCTTGCACTGTGTGTGTGATGTCTACAGTAAGTTAATAATTTCCAAATAAATTATCAACACATCTTACTTTGAGTATCGAACCATTGGTGCACAAATTGTTGTGTACTGGAGACGTAAAGGTCTTCTTCTTGGGCTTTCACTTACAGAATTTGAAAAGAGCAGGTGTTCATTTTGGACTTGGTTTGTAGAAAACATTGCGGTTGGGAATCCACGCTTACTCGAGTTACAGTTTATACACTGGAATTAGTTTCAATACTTTCACTGTGCGTCTTAAACTTAAGTTTAGCTATGTCAAACGACACTGTTCAAATTTAATCAAAATCATATTAACATTATAATTTATAGCAATGGTAACACTGTAAATGCCTACGGTGGCAATAATAAGATATCCAATATCGACGAGTGAGCCAGTAATAACAGTATTAATAACTAATACTAGTAATAGTATTAATAATAATAATATTATTACTACTACAGTACAAATTACTAATTTTTAGTAATACTAGTAAACACAATTTCTTTCACTGCCTTAATATTGAACACATATAAGTAGTTTCAACCCCAAATACATTCATATGAATCGGAGTACACGAACAAATCTTCACATAACATCTAGTAATAGTAAAACAAACTACATTCAAAAATCCACACATACAATTTTAGTACCTTAGTACATTACTACATAAACATCTAGGAAAACCGCGACCTCTGTGAAATTTGAATGTCGTTATAAATATTATTATCAAGAAGTTGACATGATAATTCTGAAAACCACATTAAAATAATATGCATAAATGCATTTGATGCCTTAACTTAGCTTAAGCGTTCTCTGTGCTGATGTATTATTTAAATGTTTTATTGTTGTATCTTATATTAAGGAATTTATTAAAATATAAAGAAGCTTTATTTTATATTAAAAACTTTACTAAAAATATAGAGAAGCTTTACGCATACATATGGCCAAGTCGATGCAAAACCTTCACATCTTTAAACAATTTTCTTTTTTTTTTTCGGGTAACTTTTGTAATTTCCTTTCCCTTATTGTACAAAATTTATGAGACTAATATTGTTACTCAAATCTGAATTTTCAAGTAATCATCCCGTCAACGTATGTTGCGTCAGCGAGTCACATGACTAGTGTGACGCCACGTTTCTAGAACTATCCTGTACCTTGGCGAATGCTCTAGCGTTTACTAGATATAGGGTAGTCTGGTATATAAAAGAGGGTGACAACGTGACGAAGAACAATGTGTGTGTAGGTAGTGAGTAATTAAACTGCAGTCAGAAGTACTGTTGACGTTTGTTGATATAGCGTTTGTTATAGAGCGACTGTTGAAAATAAGTGTATCGTAAAGTTGTATTCGGAAAGAATAAACCAGTTTTATTAAGTAAGAACTTGTATCGCTAAAGTTCCGTCGGAACGAAGTTACGGAAAATAAATTAACTAAGAAACGGAGACGTAACAAATTGGTGTCAGAGAGTGGGATAGATAAAAAAGAAAATGGAAACGAGAAGCGGCAAATCAAACTACAGCATAGCAGACGTGATGGCAGCAATACAAGAGCACCAAAGGAAACAAGAACGAGAAAAGAAACGAGAAAAGAAACG